AACTGAGGAGAGAGAAGAAGGGTAACGCATTTTGCGATCGGATATGGAGTTCGGGTGGAGCAATTTTGCTGCAAAAAATGAGATATGGCGTTCGGTTGGAGAAGGTCTTATCTTTACTTCAAGAAAGTTTATTTTGTAGTCAATAATTGTTTTTGTCGGTTTGTAACAGTTGGATCAACTATCAATGACGGTTACTTATTGATTTAACTGTTATAAATTCCAACGGAATGATTTCGTAATTGGACTGTATCATTTTTCCCTAAATTATATTCCATATGAAATATTTTAGTTTTAATTCCCTTTCTTATTAAATTAAATTAATTATAATTTATAATTTAAATTATAATTAACACTTTATTGTGTTTAAATTTAAAGTTATTCTTATTTATGTCTCTTAATATTAATAATAATATATTTGTTTTTCTCCTAAACAAATTTGAAGCAACAATAAAATCAGATTACAGATTTATGACATTTATTAGTATCTATAAGTATCATAATTATACATGGATGTATATAATAACAAAAGTAAAAGTAAAAAAGAAAAAAGGAAATAGAAAAAAAGGAAAAGAAGTAAAGGCAAAAAAAGTGATGTTACCATTTAAGATTAATGTTGGGCAATATTATTCAATTCTTATTGTAGAATTGGTATGAATAGTTATTGATTGAATATAAGTTTTACTCTTTATATTTGCTAAAATTAGTTGATGAGTTATTTGATAGCTGATAAGTTAACTCATAATTTATAAGTACTTTCGAGTTTATAACTTTCACCTTATGACTTATAGCTGAAAAACTAGTTTATATGATAAAATGATAAAATCAGCTGATAAGTTAGCTGAAATATAAAATTCAACAAGCTTATTCGAAAAGCTACCCTAACAGTTATGAGAAATTCGAACTTTTTAAAAAAGTTTGCCCTACCAAACTAAGCTTGTTCGAATATAAAATGTTTATAAGATAACCAAATAAGTTATAAACTATCTTATTTCATTGCCAAACATAGCCTTAATGTGGAAGTTCATGTTTAGCCTCGGTTGAGTCGGGCAGCATTTACAGTGCATTGGATCTAGTCTTGCCTAATGCCACGACATGTAAATAGACTCAAGTCTTGGATGACATGGATAAAACTATGTAAAATTAACAATATTCACTCCAATTCAAAGAGACTAGGTCTCTACTTGGGTCTAAAATAGACTTAACGTCAGATCGAGTCTCTTTTTTTGGCTGCCACAACAGCATTACGCAATCAACTTTTATTTGCATTAGAAAATATATTTTTTCAGACTATTCTATTTTTTTAGGTGACATATAATGTTTTGTGATTGAGCCTAAAACATCGCTGATGCTAATTAAAAGAAAAATGATGTTGTCTATCTCAGAATGTGTGTGCTTGAAGTCAGTTTATAACTTTATATCGCTACCAAGATTAAGCCAGGCTTCACAATTCTAGAATTGAACCTTTTCATTCAAATGTTATTGTCACATTCGCTTTCATAATTCACATACCATTTAAATGGTCAAACATCCAAACGAATACAGGTGCCCCAGTATAATATGATTAACACGGATCATAAATTGATCCTACTCTATAAACTGTGTATATTGCACCTACATACAAGTTGGCTTATGAGCTCATTCATATGCTTAAACTCATAAATCATAAATTCAAAACTTAAAAAATCCTACTTAAAAATAATAAATTTCATTAAATAATCAATAAATGCACCCATACATCTAAATTCAAAAAAAATAAAAATAAAAAATACAAAAAATGCCTCTTATTCTGCATATGATTGAGCTCATATGCCATATTAAAATCAAACCAAACCCTCAAACACTCGTATATATATATATACTCACGCCCATGGGTCAAGCCAGCACTCCTCGGGCAGCTTAGGAAACCTCTCGGTATCCTTGCAATAATCGTACACGACGAGGTTCCTCTGGACCCACGCGTAGTCCTTCTTCTGATCGTTCGAGAGGTGCCACGCGTTGTATTGGTCCCACCAATTATCGGTAGTAGTCGAGACACACGCAGGATAAGGGTCCTCCCATTGGCAAGCGTCCACATTGAAGTCCTTATAAGACGAGACAAAAGGCGCTTTTTTCCAATCGGTCTTTTCGAGTCCGCCCCTCGTGGCCCAATCGTCCGCGTTCCAAATGCTCGAGAACAAGTACATTGGCTTCTCGTTGGGGAAGAAATTGTTGGTGTAGTTTGCGTTCTTGAACACTCTGATGGGAACCTCGTCCACGAAAAACCTATCATTGACAAAAAAGATCGATACCTTTTTTAAATGTGTTTGGTAAACACCATAAACTAGCTCTTAACTTATTTAATCAGCTTATAAGCTTCATGTATTCAAATAAACATGGTTTTGTAGGACGAGTAAAACTCAAGCTTATCTCACAATTAGCTTCTTTGAGTAGTTTTCTCAAATAAGTCTGCTGAAATTTTTATTTCAACTAGCTTATCAGCTAATTTTACCAAACACTTTTATCATATAAGTTAGTTTTCCAGCCATAAGTCAAGATATCAACTATAAACTCGAAATTCACTTATAAACTATCAGCTAAGTCTACCAAACATGATAACTGCAATTCATGAGCTTAAACTTGAAATAGGAAAAAACTTACACTAACTGGTGATTGTTCCATAGGATAGAATAGCTGTGATAATCCTCGGTCGGGTCAAACCATAGACTGTGCCTCATCTCACGGTTGCCGGTTCCATTTTTGTACACATTCGTCTGTATGAGGTAAGGCTGCCCTGTCCTGTTACCCAAGAACTCGATGTCAACCTCATCCCTCTCCGGACCTGCTCCATCTTCCGAGCACATCTGAACGAAAATCAAAATCTTCATCCCACTCGCAAAATGTAGGAAAAAAAAAAGAAGAAGAAATATTTGCTCGTTTATATACATGTTAACAGATCTTAACATGGGAACTATCAACTACGTCAAGTAAATCGATCGATCAAGTCAGTGCATCAAACGAGCAAACACTCGACAAGCTCGACCGAACAAATACAGCAGTGTTAAAACTCTGAGACATTATTACATCCTCAAGAAATCACTCTAAAGTCTACATAACGAAGCCAAATGTGATTAGAATAAAACACACTTACATAATAAGCAGTGACAACTCCAGCTGAGTCGCCCCCAACAAGCTTAAGTTTCATACTGAACCACCCGAATCTGTATCTCTGCTTCGTCATGAACCCGCAACCTACACATATTAACCATAACCAATTTTTTTTAATTGAAAAAAAAAATGAAATTTAAAAAATAAAAAATAAAATTGATGACAATAATAATGAAATAAATTAATGTACCTGCTTGTTTATTCAGGGAGAGGTACCAGATCTGGCCATCCTCAGAAGTCTTGAAATTGGTCTCCGGGCAGCTCTTGCTGAAATTGTCGTCGAAGGAGCCTTTGATTCCGGCTGCCCCGGGCAACGGAAAAACCACCGACGCCGCAAATGTTGTGACGATGAGAGCTCCAAACAGAGGACCCATTTTTTCTACTAATTAAAGCATACAGAGTACAAACAGAGAATGCCGGTTTTTTTTTTTTCTTGTGCTCTCAGCTCATTTAACGGGCCGGCTTCTAAAAATGTCAAATGAGGACAGCCTGGTTAATTATTGAACTTAATCTTATAATCTTATGCTTTGATCAATCATGTGAGAAATTAATCATTATAGGAAATAATGCTATTATTATTGTTACACACAGAGAAGAGAGAGAGAGACCGACACAAGAAGTGTGAAGGGATTGCTAGTGGAGGTTGAGCTCAAAAATCCAGGCTGGACCCAGTTAATTCTATTTTTTATCGGAATATTAAAAAAGGATACCGTACCGTTACAGAACCATTCTGTCGGGATTTATAACCATTGGATTATCATGTTAGATCAATTGTCTCCGACGATTACATGATGATCTAACGATTATAAATTTCGACAGAATGGTTCTGTAACGGGACCGTAACATTTCTCTTAAAAAAAAGTGGGGGGATGGGACCAAAACATGTCGCATGAAAGAACGTGAGCGAGCATTTGATTGGGTTGGGTGTTATAATAATCAGAAGAAAGTGAATAGTTCCTTGGATTTGATGACAACTGGGAATTGGAAAACAAACAGGAATCACAGGATAGATCTGCAGTGAGGGTTTAATTTTTT